TATCTAATCAATCATAAACAAAATATTAGAAAAAAATAATTATTGCTATTTTAAAAATAAATATAGAAAGCGAAAAAAGTTCACAGTTATGAAAATATTAATTGCTCTCTCCGCCATTTTGAACTAGAACGATTCAAGCAAGAAGGGGAAATTCCCGTCATTCATTAAGGTGGGTAGGTGGAGAAGAAAAACTCATTTCCTCCTTACTTGTCATTCAAGTTGAGGGCGGGGTAGTGACAAATTCTTATTTTCTCTCTCATCATTGGCTATCAATCAAGCATAAAGGCGTGGCATGCTGATTGGGTTCTCTTTATTTTTTCTTGTGTGACTAAAGGGGATTCCCCCTCCACTTAAACATTTGCTGTGTTTACCCTTTTTTACAGTATTTCTTCTTCCCCTGACACTCAAATAAAAAGGTTCCAGGAAATGCCTCTTTTACTAGCCAGCTGCATAAGAAAGAAGGGGGAGGGAGGGAACTCAGTTGTGCTCTTTTGAAAACAAATCTCCCCCCCCTTCCTGCATTCCAGAGGAGGAGCATCATGGTCTTAGTAGATCTTCTGTTCTCTTTTCTGTTGATTTATGGGTTCAATGCATAGATCTCTAGAAGTTGAAAAGGGGAAAAACTTGTCAAAAGACTTCGTTTTTTTTTTTTTTTTTTTTAAGGGGGAGGAGAAGATGAAGAAATATTTGTTTATTTTGATTGTTAAAAAGTGTCCGGGAAATCGACCCTTCCGGAAAAGGGACGTCCGGATATGGGACGTTACACTGTAAATAAATTTCAGCATCATCGATTCTCAAATAGGTGCTTAACATAAAAATCATACCTTTCTAATTGCAGATTTTTTCAACTTTTTTTCAAAATTGTGTGTTCTTATGTGATGAAAGACAGACTTTTGTAAAAACAAAGCACAATGTTATGAGAAAAGACCAGAACAAGAAAATAATTGATAACTTTAGTTTTAGATTATCAGTATTTAATTCTATCGAGTAATCTATATTATCTATCGAAATTTTTATAAATATTAATCCAATATGTTAAGCTATTGCTTGCAAAGAGCACACACACACACATATATACAGCATTTGAAATAAGCAGTCGTTATTACCTGATTGAAAATTTCATTTTGCTTCAAGAATATACAAGTATGACATATTTGAAAACTTCACTCGCTTTAAGAATATACTAATGGAAAGAAACATTCAACATGTTTCAAGCGCTTCAAAAGTAGGCGCTTACTTTCAAGACTTGCCCGATATGAATGTAACAAAACAAAAAATTATTTTAAATAAAAACGCAAAGTTGTCAATGAAAAATGGAAAAATGAATCTGAGAAACAAAACTGGAAAAATTGCTGAAGTTGATAGAGAGAAAAAAATGAAAAACAGAACAAGAAAAATCAGTGGGTGAGAGGCAAATAAGGGTAAAATGCATTTCTACTCGTTATGGAGAGGAGGGGAGGAATTAATATTGTTAACAAGGGAATCTGCATTCAGATGAATAGAACAAGATTCTAGGGTATCAAATGTTAAGCAATTGAAGATTTCTAAAATTCTCAGGTCTAGTAAAGTTTGGGTCTAGTGATTTTAGCGAGAGCTGAATCAACTATGAATTCCAATTATTAAGTCCAAGGTTAGCTGCAAGTGAGTGGAGGAAGTTAAGTTTGGAGTTTAAAGCAGAAGAGTCAGAGCAGAGGTTCATTGCATGAAAAACAAAAGTATGAAATGCAGAAATTTTCTGACAATTAGGGTGATTAAAATGAACATGAGTGGGCAAGAAAGAAAAAAACGACAGTGTTTTACAATACTCAGAGAATGAAGAATGATCTGAATATTTTGTTACTAGAACTTCTAAAAAAGGTAAAGTAAAACTAATTTAAGTGTTTAAAGTAAACTGAATGTTGGGGTCAACTGAGTTGACAACAGAAAGTAATTTCTTAATGATCAGAATCACTGTCTCCTAAGACAAACATATCACCAACACGTCTTTTCCACCTATCCTTTCTAACAATTTAAAAACTTTTCCCTTGCAGTAGTGCATGAAAATGTCACTAAGGATGGGATTGTTCTTGGTTAAACCCTCAATTTGTATATAGAAATTACTATTGAATTAAAGGCATTTTGCTGAATAGAAGAATTCACAAGGGATATAATGTCTTCAATTTCAATGAAAGAGTTGTGAAATTCTTGCAACCATAGTTTTAAACTATCAACAGAACTGGAAATGGGGACATTAGTGAAAAGAAAAACATCATCAAGAGAAAGCATAATTTTGTTGAAGTGGGAAAGAAGTGCAAGTTGGGAAACAAAATCATGCAAAATTTTAACAGAGTGGATTTCGTTAGAGTTGAGATGATAATGCTAAATATCAAGAAAATTTACAGCAGGGAGTATCAATGTTCGAGACAAAAGGTCTAAAGGCAACTTGAGGCTTGAAAACTTTAAGGAGGGTATAAAAGCAAGCGCAAATACATTTAATGTAAACCGAAAAAGTGCAAGAACTTTTTTTTTCTTAATTGCAGTAGAATGAGAAGGGGTAGGATCAGACTTAAAAAGTTGGACTTAATTACTTGTTCTAAATTTGAAGGTATGGGAGATTGAACTGAATTGGGAACTAAAAATTTGGAAGCAGCAAAATTTTAACCTAAATTAAAGACTTCTTGTGTCTTGCTGAGATTAATAGAACATAAATTAACAAAAGAATGTTGAGTTAATGGTTTGATATTATGGTGCGATTATTTATTAACATTCGTTAGTCCTAATTTGTAACTTAGAATTTAAATTTGACACGCAGAAAACTACACCCTAGTATAATTTTTGGTCTCTAACTTTTAAGTTATCTTTGCTTCTGTGATTCAATTCCATGATGAGCTAAACGACAAGTGGGAAGTTACAAATATGACAAAATACAGTCTGAGTATCAGTGAGTGTCCAGGCTGGAAGTTGACATCACTGGTTTGGAGTCTCCATGCATGTTGAAGGAGAGAAGTTCTTTATTTCTCCTCCTATGCTTTTGACCCTGAAAATGACATTTCTCATTTATACAGGTTGTTACAAAGATAAAGACACACTCTCTGAGTATCGGTGGATGTCTATGCTGGAAGTTGTGGGTATGACATCACTGCCTTGGAGTCTCCATGTGTGTTGATGGAGAAAAGTTATATATTCCTCCTCTACTTATGACCCTGAAATCAGTATTTCTTTTTCTCTGGAATGGAATATTTCAATCCTAAACAAGCTTTAACACTAGTATGTAAATTAAGAAGATGATGTGCTTTATTTCTGCGTGAACTTAAGCATGAAAATGAGTAAATCAATAACTTCTCATTTTTCATTAATAAATGGCATTCGAAATTAATTAGTGAAAATTGCTGAAAGTTTTCAGAATAGTTTTAAAGAGGATTCAGTAGAAATATTTGAGAATGTGTTGGAATGATCCTTGTTCTGCAATTGATATGCGGTGTAGAGCTTGGTTGAATTAGATGGCCATACTTTAAAAAGTAAATTTGACTGTAATAAGTATATTTTTTCTATAATTCATAAAACTCTTGTTTTATTTACGGTATATCTCACTGTATAAGCCGTCCAGTTGTTTTAGTTGGCCCCTTATTTTTGATTTCAAGATAGCAAATTTCTGGTATGTCAGTTGCATAAATCAACCACTAAAAAAAAAAAATTATGAAGTTCGCAACATTTTTTCTAGTTAACAATATTTTATATTGTTCTCTCTGGATATGATACATTCGCCCTCAAGTTGAGATTCAAACATTATTGAATCCAGCCTAGATGATCTGGAATCCATTGCTGCCAACTCTACTGGATTTTCCATAGACTACAGGATTTTGCCAGTTTCTCCTAGTCTACTGGTTTAATAAAAATTCCCCTGGTTTTTGTACATTTTAGAAAATTCCATAACATTTAGTAAATTTCTTAAAAAAATCGCTATTGAAATGGAATTATTGTACAGATTATTGCCCGCTTGCTAAAACGTTTCAATAAGCATGACTAATACATAATGAAGCGAACTTCATTTATAGAAATCAGTTCAAAACTTTTTTCATTCTAAAATGTTCAGTTTATATTTATTCAGAACTCTCCTTTTAAATTAATTTAAAAAAATCTTCTAATTATCTTCAATGAATTAAATGCCTATTAATATTAGAAATTATGAGTAAACATAGCGCATATCATTTCAAGTATGTTTAATGTCCATTGTAATTGGAAAAATATTGTAGTTTTTTTTTATTTTGATTACTATTAAAACTCCCTAAAATTCCCTATGTGTAAAATATTTAGTACATTATGCTACAATTATCATAAAATTTATATCATTTTGTAAAAATCTACTAGATTTTTTCCTATCCATGTTGGCAGCTATGGGAATCTTTAAATTTGTAACTTTGTGATATGTTTTTTTTTAAATTCCCTTGAATGAATTATTTTAACTTTTCTTATTCTTGATTATTTTGAATATTTTTATAATGTTTCTAAAAAAACCTTTCTAAGTAAAAAATCATGATGAGAGAAAATGCAAAATTAATTGCATGTAGCATATTTAAAATAGTTTTTGAAAGGGGTTACTTTGTACAAAGTTATTCATATTTACCTCATTGTTTATAATCCATTACCTCTGGGAAGTTATTATGAGTTTGATAAAGTTCCCAATGCTGAGCTAAAAATAATGTTCTTTTATTGTTTGCACTTTTAAGTACGGTTTCACTTTGCTTTAATATAAATTATTTCAAAGTTTAACTGTTGTGAATGTATTTTAAAAAATATATAATTTTACGTGCTATTGTATGCATTTTCAGAATATTCATAATTAGAAAAAGTTTTTATTACTATAAAAAAGTATAAATATTGTGGTTAGAATTATTATTTTAAATTTATTTTTAGGTGAACCGTTTAAGAAAAAATATTTAGGTGTCATTGACGCCTGTCAATCGCATTTTAATTTCTGACCCTGTACATACTTAACTTGGTTTGTTTAATTTATTTTCTAGGCAGAAGCCAATAAGTCCTTAACTAAACAACGTAAAACTGCTACTTCATTTAGAGATACAGAATTGTATGACATATTCCAGCTTTCCTGTGATTTGTTAAGGAGAGCTTTGGAAGGTTGGCAAACAAAAAGTTATACAGATGAAACTGAGGTAATTTTTTAATCTCTATTTTAACTGTGTTAGATTATTTTACCTTCTGGAGAGAAATGTCACCTAAAAAAATTTGTTATTTCATAAATTAAATTTTTGAAATTTCTTATCTCAGCAGTGAAACTACATATATATTTTTTAAAAGAAATATAATTTATATTCTTTTATTTCTGAGATTTAGAGACAAAGATGTTAAGCAATATAAGGTTATCGTTATAGATTGTTAATAAGTCAAATTACTTCTCCCTTATTACTTCCCATTGTGTCGTGCATATTTTATTCCGAAGTTTAAATACATACTTTTATTCAAGTATAGTTGGTTATTTTTAAAATCAAAGTAATAATTTATTTTGCTATGATCAGTACATTAACAAAATGTTCTTATATAAAATTATAATGATATATTTTATAAACAAAATCATCTTTTTTTTGAAAAAAAAGTATTGAATTTTAAGGGGGGAGGGAACAGAGATGAATGATAGAATACTACAGGGGTTGACATGGAGAGTGACCAGAAAGAAAACCCTTTTATTGATTTTAAAAATGATCCCAATAATCATATCAAGAGAATTTAAAATGATAAATTGATGAATTATACAGTAAAATTTCTTTTTTTGTGAAATGTTAAATTTATTAGCTCATATTAAGTTTATTATTCAATGCACTTTCATTTTGAGATTATTAAAACCCCACTTTAAAATACTTTGATTAAGAACTCAATTACAAATTTGTATTGTATATTGGTGTGAAGGAATTTCAATAAATTGATACTGGATATTTTTTAATGCAAGAGTACTATAAAACTACCCAAAGAGAATGGGAATATACTACCGATTTTACGTGATTGAACTGCTTGTTCAAATGGTTGGTGTGCTACTCCCCAGATTTATTTTACAGTCAACCAGATTGATATGAGTGAGACAAGTTAGTGGATGATGTAGAACTGTGCCTTCTTATTAAAAGCTGTGTCAAAAATAATAGTATAAAAATATTTTTCAATTAAATGTTTTGTTAGTGGTTATTAGGATTAAAAGTTACTTTTTTTGAAACCTATTTATGAAGAAAGAGATGAAATAAAATAAGTGTTATCTTTTATTTATTTTAAAATTATTAAATTTTGATTAAAATTCAATTCCATATGTGTTTCTTAACATTCATAGAATACTTTTCAAACTTAAATGATCATATTATTTTGCTCTTCATTTTTGATTAACTCTGTTTTATTTATCTGCATTTGATTTTCATTTAATTATATTGTTTTCAACAGCACAATTTGATGAGCTGCTTACTTCGATTATCATACAATTGCATATCCTTTGATTTCATTGGTACATCACCTGACGAGTCCTCTGATGATTTATTTACTGTTCAAATACCCACAAGCTGGAGACCTGCATTTTTGGATTTTAATTCACTTCAACTGTTTTTTGATTTGTATCATTGCTTGCCTCCTAATCTTTCATCAATGGTAAAATCCTTTATCCTTTTTTATCATTAAGCTGGGATGGGAATTATTTTAAATTAGTGATCTGAATCACTTTATTCAAAATGATGATTGAAATAACTTTATTACCATAGTGAATAAACATAGCTTAAAATAATTCCTATTTTAATTTAATTTACCAGTATTTTTTAAAATTCAAATTACTGAATCAAAACCCAACTCTAGTGTGAACCCAATTACGTTATGACATTAGCTTGCTGAAATAATTTGCTCAAAAATATTTACTATCTAATTAAATTTTGGGCTAATAAAAAATGCTAAAAGCATTTTTTTTGTAGTTTATGGAATTTTGCATATTTTAGAATCATTACAACATATAATTTTCCTGATTTTCCATATAGGGTTTTTAGTTTTAATATTTTTTATAAATTTTTCACTTTAAAAATTCTATTATTATCTTTCAAGATTAATTTTTAAAACCGAAATTCCCCATACATCTTTCCTTTCTACTCTCATATGGAGTACCAAAATTCAATCAACAAATTTAAAGAGTCGATAAAAGGCATTTTGAGGAGGAAAGTTTCTATAGAACATGGGGTCACGAAATCCTTGAGAGAGTAAAAATCGCGAAGAATTAATATAAGTTTCATTGCTATGCTGAAAAATAATTACAAAAAATTAATTTGATTAATTGTTACAGGAGTTTTATGTTTACCAAAAGGCAGGTAATTCACCCTATGAGCTCTATTGTGCTTTGCAATTTTCATTCTCTCAATGCGAAGTTTTTATTCTCTGCGTGGCTTTTTTTCTCTCTGAATTTGTAGGTCAAATTTTAGAGCATTTTTTATACACACACATACAGTAACAAGTACCTGTATATAATGTGTATATATATGTATCGTTGGCGAACTTTTAAATATCAACATAGCTCGAAATGCTTGTTAAGGAAAATAGACATAGATAATTTTTTGTTTGTGAAACAAAACTGTTTGGTAACAAATTTCAACATTACTTTCATCTGATCAAAAGATTCAATAATATCGGCAATTAAAACTGAAATTTGCCTGCAATTCACAAATTAAAACATTATTATCACATTGCCAGTACTTCTTAAAGCCGTAAATTGAGCTTTTCATCATCGTTCTCAAAAAGGTTGGTGCTTATAGATCCAATTTTCTATGTGGTGTATGTTGTACACTGATCTACAGACAAAATAATTTTGTGTTTTTGTAAACATATTTTTTATGTCAAGACGTCGTAAGTACTTGGTGAAGATAAGTTTGGTCTTCCACGTTTTTTTATTTGCATAATAAATGGTAGGATATGTTTTAACATTTTTAAAGCACAGTGGATTTTTTGGAGTGATCAATAAATGAGTGGTGTGAGTTTTTCATTCCCGTCAGAATTGCACTTCAATAGAACAATTAACTTTTCCTTAAACAGTTTGTCACCATGGCATTGTTCACTTTTTTTGGTGTATGTTTTATCAGGAAGAAGATTGAAAAATAAGCCAGTTTTATCCGTGTTAAAAATGCTTTTTGCATAATAATTTTCAACCAAAGATTACAAAGTTTTATTTCACCACTCCTCAACAGTGCTTTTATCAACACTTGTGAATTTACGTCCGAAATCTTGCAAAGATTTTAGAACATAACTTTGGCAAACCTTTGAGACCACATGACTCAAAATTTGCTAAAATGATTGGCTTAGAATTTCCATAAATGAACATCCTAACATATTTTGGTCTTGGCAAATATCATTTAAATATTTTAGTGCTGAAAGGAAGTGGTATACAAGCATCAAGTGAAGGGACATCAAGTGAAAGTAAAGGGACATTTCTGATATTTTTCTCATTTTTCTGATTTTTAATGATATATGGATGATATTGAATTCATTAAATCTTATGGCAACATTACTTTAAAATAATGTTTGTTTAGACTACTTTGGTAAGATTTAAAATTTTTTCATGTTTTATGAGAAAATTGTGGTAAGCAAAACTTATGCTTTTGCAAAAATTATCCTTAGAACTGAAATTTCATGCCTTACTCTATTCAAATATTGGCGTCACTAAATCAGTGTTAATGAGCATATATATTACTACAAGTTTATATTTTACAGTTTTATCTAAGAAAATCTTTCATGTTTTAATATGTAACTTTTAAGTTTAAAAATGTCATTGTTAATGTTATTATTTTCCTCATTCTAAACAATGACATATTTCATTTCTTTTTTAGGCATTATTATGTATAGTACAAATTGCATCTGTTAGGAGAACTTTGTTTAATAATGATGAACGTGGTAAATACTTAGCACAGCTTGTGAATGGAATAAAATCAATTCTTGAAAACCCTCAAGTAAGAGTTGTTTAAATTAAAATACTATGCTAAAAATCTTATTGATTGTTTTATATTAAATTTATTGTTTTATATTGAAAAAAATGTAAAACAATAAATTAATCTTATTTATTGTTTTATATTTTAGTGCATCTTTCTTTTTTAAATAGAACTTAAAGTTACATTACATGTAAATTTAAGAATATTGAACTGCTGAAACTATAATATATATGAGTGAAGATTTAATGAAGATAGAGCTTAGTAAAAAGATATATATATATATTTATTAGAATATAAAATCATAAAGAAAAACATTGCAAGCTTTTGATTAACAAAACAACATAACATTAAGCATAATGACAGTTCAACAAGCAAAGAACAACTCTGTTTTTCGGGTGCTGATCCTTGTGAATAGACATCAATTATTTGCATATTTGTGTGTGCGGGGTGATACTACCATGTCTCTCATGATGTGATGTCTGTCTAACAAAAGTTTTATTACAGGTATGAGCCTTTGTTAACATACCCATTTGATTTAATAATTTGATTACTTAATTCAAATAGAATATTTTGTTTTTTTAAACCTCTGTGTACATAATGAAACTTCGTCTCTGTGCATTGATCTATGATTATTAATTATTAAGTTCTTTTCTAAATGAGTAGCACTTAATGAATCAGAAAATATGATTGTTGAGACCCATTTATGCCATTAACAATACAATTATTTATAATATTGTTGAACTAAGTAAATAACAGTTGCAGATTAATCCATAGGCATGTATTCAGTCTCCATATTTGAAAGACTAACCATTTTTTTCCTTACAACTCCAATGAATTGGAACATCACTGATTATCATGGGCATTACACTGGGAAACAGTTGAATATCCTCCATATAGCCTGGACATGGAACCTTCACACTACCATTTGTTAAGACCCCTTGAAGAAGCCTTGGGGGTGTAAGATTTTGTGTACAATTGGTTCACTACATGGGCTACTTCTATGCCATTGGAATTAAAAATATACTTTCTCTGTAACTTTTATGATGGTCCTCATTGCTTGACCAATGTCAGTCTATAAATACATTAATCAAATCATTAATTGCATTTGAAATATTTATAGAATGATCTAAAGCCATTTCCTTATCATGTTGACTATGATGATTTATCCTAAATCAAGGGTCAAATGTAGTTCAGCTATCATAATTGAAAGAACTACTTTTGCCTGTTATTATTCATATGTACTTTTGAACATGATTGTGCTAAAAAATTACTTTTCTTTCTTACTTCAACATTAATTTGATAATGATCTTGTTGATAACCATTTACTACATGAAATCACTGCATATATGAAAAAGTTGACTTGATTTAATCATTATTAAAAAAAATTTAACAATTAATAACTGAAGCCATTCTTTTTAAATTGCAATAAATTCGCTCAATATTATTTTGAAATCTGATTAAATTTTCAATGGGGTGATAAGAACAATTCAATGCTTAATAATGGAAAAATATCTTAAGCTTAAAAATTGTCAGGAAGTTGCCAATGAGAAATAAAATAAAAATGAAACATTTTATTTTGCTTCAGAAGAAAATGTAAGTGTTTTCAGGAAAAAAAAGGATTGCATCTTATAAATTTAAAATTTTCAAATTATTTTATTAATTTAAAAGCAATGTAATTGTAATAAATAGTTTTTAAAATTTAGAACAATTTGTGCTTTATTAATTTTATTTTTTTCTGTTTCAGTATGTATGAATTAAAATTTTGAATTACATTTTTTGTTTAGAAACTATCTGATGCAAGTAATTATCATGAATTCTGCCGGTTGTTAGCTAGATTAAAGACAAATTACCAACTTGGAGAACTTGTTAGGATTGAAAGTTATCCTGACACAATAAGGCTGATTGCCAAATTTACTGTCACAAGTTTGCAGGTATATCAATGTGTTATTTGTATTTCTAAACGTTTCAAACTGTACTGATAAACACAGATATTACTGGTTTTAATGTTTTATTAAATATATCTTTTAGGTGACCATTTTAATCTCTGAATGAAAAGAGGACTAGCTAAAACAATCTATTAAAATATTTCTTACATTTAGCTAGATTTAAATGATGTTCGTTTAGATATAGTTGAAAATGTTGCTCAGAGCCCCAGCTATATTTTTTCATCACTTTAAGATAAATACTGAACAGCTTTTTTTTCTGTAAAATACATCATCTTGATTTTTTTTTTCAATTTGCAAACTGAATTTTAAAGCACTGCAATCCAATTTTAAAAGGGGGAGTATAAGAAAAATGTTGCAAAAATTATTGTTTGTGTTGAACTAAATACTTTTTGATGACGAAATTCATTAAAAAAAACTAAGAAATGCCTACTTGATTTTAAAAAAATATTTCTTTTTATCAAATAAGAGAAGATGTAATGAAATAAATATAAATATTAGAAAAGAAATGTTTCTTATCACATCACATCATATTATACAAAAGTTAATTTTAAAGTACATTGTAAATAAATAAACTTTAAGATTCATGAAATCAAAATTTAAAAAAAATTATATTTTAATGAGTAATAGAAATGCAATTTAACTTTAATTTAAGGAAATCTATATGTTTTAAAATGATTTAAATTAAAACAAAACCATGATAGTTCAAAATAAGATTTAACATTATTTAGTTAATATTGTACTTCAACTTCAGGACATTTATATTTAGTGAATTAAAGAAGATTTTATTAATTTTATATAATATTTTTCTCTCTAAGTTACAAATGATTAGAAACGAAATTACTAATAGTAACCATCTAAACACTTACGCATTCCTACACTTTTCGAGTTTTACGTCTTGTAATAATAAAACATTAAAATTTAAAATACTAAGTGGAAACATGTGTCACTAACTGTCAAGAAAAGTTCACTAAACACTTGGGTTTGAAATGCAGTTTGCATCAGTAAAGTGTGACAAAAAGCAATTTAAAGACTTGATTCAAAACTTGGGTGTCGTAATAATAGCTGTTTATAATAACTGTGTCAAAAGACGTAGTAATAGCTGTCAAAGAAAGAACCGCTATCAAAAAATCACTTTGCTTTATGATTAAATTAGCATAATTAGAGAGCTTCAAAAGTGATGTTTATTGCATGATTCAAAATTCTAATATCATAATAGTGTCACTTTAAAATATGAGGACTTATAAACCGTGTGACAATGCACAGCAACAACTGCCAAAAAAATAATTAAAAATTAACTTGAACTTGCAAGAAATAGATATGAATAAGATCGTCAAAAAGTAACTTCTCAAACTTGAAATTCATTTATCGTAAAAATATCCAGGTTGATATATGTCCATAGCAATATGTGGATAATTTCCCTGCGTAAAGATAGTCATCGCAATTACCACTGAAAAAGTAGTAGAAAAAAAATTTAGATTTCTGATAAAATCTGGGTAAATTGAGCTTGTCAAACTAATAACTTAAAAGCAAAACTCTAAAGTCAAATTTTTTTTTCATTTACAAGAAAAAATTTTAATGATAATTTTTCATCTTTCTGTTTTAAACATTAACACCAATAGCTGACTCATGTGGCTCAAAGGTTGCAGGTTGTGATTCTCAAGTTAAATTTGAACAGCAGAATAAGTTTGTTGGGATAGTAAAATATTTTAGATTTAGGTCTTTTCTTAGATTCATTAATCCATATCTACAGAAAACTTGAAGTATTGAAACTTTATTTTAATACAAATTAACAAATATTTTTAAATAGAAATCTCTTGTCTACTATGATTATCAGTTAATAATTCTATATGAAATTATAGCTTTACTCAAAATTCATTTAATTTTATATATTTTTCATTAAAAATTTACATTATGCCATTATGTACTTGGCCTATCAATATTTGTTTATAAATTAAAGATGTTTTATGACAGAGAGTAATTAAACTGTAAGAAGTTTCAAAAATCGATTATAACCTCACTGTAGGTAATTTCATTTACATATTTTTTTAAAGTACAAGTTTTACTTCAAAAAATCATTTCATTTGACCCTGCCTGTCCACTAGGGTGGTCCTTAAAAGGCATGGTTTTTGCTTTTTTTAATTCATGTTGGTTTTACTTTCTAAAGTGGTTCATTTTGAGAGAAAATAAGGTTTGTCAAATTTCAATAGAAAAACACAGTAGCAAACCGATTATCTGGAAAGATCGGGACCATCACTGTTCCGGATAACTGACGTTTCCTATTTTCTGAATGCTACAAAACGCTGTTTTTTTTATTGTCAAAATAAACTAAAAAAGAAAATTATTTAGAAATATTTTTAAGGAGAAAAAACGATAAAATAATGCATTTCTTTTCCCATCCTATGTGCTAGAAAGACATCGTTTGAATATAATTCTGGTTAAAAAAAAAAGAATATTTCAAAAATTTCTGGAAAAAAGAAAAACACAATTTTTTACTTCATTATTCTTTATTATTCTCAAATGAGAAGAGAAAAATCGCGAGCATTTCTTTTCCCTCCTCTTATAGGCTAGGAAGACATTGTTTAAATATAATTCTGGATGAAAGAAACAGAAACATTTCAAAAATTTTTGTAGAAAACAAATTAAAAATTTTTTACTTCTCAAAGGAAAAATCATTCTGCAAAAAACTCTCTAACGTTCTGCGACAATATCGCCGTGATTACTATCTAGAAGAGTTTTACTTGGGCTTCAACATTTTGCTAAAACATTAATCGAAATCGGAAGGAAAAACATATGTATCACAATCTTATTCCTCATTAAGCTGAGTGATTTTATTTCTCCTCCACTCCAGTGAAACATAAAATTGTCAGACACAGTAGCTGACATAATAAAAAGAATTCATGTTCTACCAGGTTCTGCCCCCTCCTCACACCCCATTCAAAATAAATGAATTAAAAAACAGGTGCAGTTGCAATACTTGACCTTGAGTCATTATTCCCATTTCTTTGGCTGTCACTATGTTCAAAGGGGGAATAGCAGAAATGGCAGATAATTTTTTAAAAAATTCGATAAAAACAGGTGTTCAAGGAGTCACCCTTTCTCACTGGGCTATGATTGAAAAGAAACAACTGTGGGGGGTGAGGAAGGGAATGATTGATGATATTTAGTAGAAGACTCTTACTTCTCTGGACAGTGTAAGGAGCTAAAGATTATTTCTAAAATGATGGTAAAGTAAACATCTTTTAAAAAAGAAAGAGATACCCTAAAATCTTATGAGGAAAAAAAATCTTCTTTCCTAAAATTGTTGGGAAAATTTATAAAATTTCTTTCTGGTTTTCCGATTTTGGGATAAGACGTTCTGTACTGTATTAAAATTTAGATTTAGTAAGCAATTCAAATGTTAAGTAATTTGATGTATAAATCATAACATGCAAATTAAAGACAAAGCAGTTTTAATTTAATTTCATGTAACCTAATGCTATTATAACAAAAAGTGAAAAAGTTATTGATGGTTTAAGTTCTTTCATTGGTAGACATGGGGTCAACAGTGTATGTTTACAACTGTCTGGATATGCTTGTCTGTGCTCCTTCACCACTTGCATTAAAAATTTAAATTGAGACTCATCTTTAATTAATAATTTATTGAAATCTTGAATAAGAGCAATACCATGGTCAGCATAATCATTTATAACTGCCATTGATTTTACAATTTTGAAAGATGGATTAAAATCTTCTCTTTTTCCATGCAATCAAATCAACATCAAGGACTTTACATGAAAATTCCATTTATTTAAACAATATAACTGATCTTTAGTCACAAAATTTTCAGGTTGTTTTTCTCCTGAAAATGTAAGCATAATGGTTGCACATTTTGGCTTTTTACTTTTCTCTTAGTCTTCCCTATGTGTGACTTTGTAAAAACAAGCATGTTGCTCTCAAATACAGCTAATACTATTAAATCTTCAAACATGTACCAAAAATATTTTGCTACTTTTGAGCTTCGGAAATGTTGGTGTTTATAGCTGTAATAATCTAGTAGTAATTTGAGCAGCTGAAAGTTATTATAATCTGCATAATATGCTATCGAAAAGTTATCAATGCTTTGATATGTATTTGTGATGTCAAGATACAGAAAAATTCTCTTCTAGACTAGGATGTTAAACATAAATTTTTGTTTCGAAAATACTTTTCTTCTCACTGTTACAGCTGTCATTTGTATCATCAAATGATGCTAATGTTACAGTTATTTCACTTTTTCTCTAACTTTCCTTTTGTATTCTTTTTTCCTGCATCCTTTTTTAATAGCTGATTTTTGTTCTATTTTCGCATTTCGAGTTTCATCAATACTTATCATGGTTATATATATATATCAATACTTATTTACACTTCGTGCTAGCATTTGATTTTATTATTAATAATCCAGCCAGTGGCTATAATGAATAAAAATCTAGACAAATCGCTATCTTACGCTTGTTTGAACATTGAAGGAGACTGTATGCATTCCATCTACCTCAATGTGCTCTTTATTTCCATCATAAGGGCTCTTAATGATATTAACAAACTTTTCAAGAAATTTGAAGTGTTTCAATATTTTAAACAGCTTGTCCTGATCAATTTAATCAAAACCCACCCAGTAGTAAATTAAATTTTGATATGACAATTAATTCCTCTTTAAGCTTTGCTAAATTCTATTTGTTAGTACAAAAATTTGCTTTGAGCCTTGTTCTAATTAAATTCAAAAATGTAATTTAGCATACAATTACAAAAATTAATTTTCTATTGCTGTAAAAGGACGCAGGTTTCTTGGATAAATCTATGATGGTGATTTCATTATAAACTCTTAAAAAATTTCAAAACATTTTCTACGGCCCAAATACTGTCTCATATGTATAACCAGTTTCTGATCTAGGGATTTGTATTTATAAATACATCATGATCTATAAATATCAGTAAATATTTAAACCAAATGTTTTAAAATAGAATCTGAGAATTTTCTAGGATAAGAAGAAGCAATTAAAACTTATTAAATGTATGCATTTATACTGTATGTGTTATTTAACTAACTTTTATTATTTTTAGATGTGGCAATTTGCTCCTAATAGTATTCATTACTTGCTGAGTTTGTGGCAAAGAATGGTAGCATCTGTACCGTATGTTAAAGCCTCTGAACCACACTTACTGGAAAGATATACCCCAGAAGTAACTCAGGCATTTATTACTTCCAGATTAGAATCTGTATCTGTTGTGCTAAGGTATGTCTTTCAAATGTCTTGTCACAAGTAAACAAATTCCTGAAAACTATAATGCATGAGAAAAATTGGCTTGATCAGTTGGAACATAAAATCAGAATTCTATGTACTGAATTAATGATTTTTAGAATTATTTTATAAATTAATAGCTATAAGAAAATTTGAAATTGAAAAGTAAAAGTTTTTTCATATCATTTCAAACAATGTAATTACAAATGAAAAAATCTAGAGTTTGAAATTTAAAATTGAATTGAGTGAAGAGGTATGCCAACTACTCCATTTTAAAATAATTTCAATTTCAAAGTACTCTGCTCCCTCCTTACACATGTAAGAAGGTAAAGGAGGAAACTTTCAAAGAAGTGTGATGAGAGAATGACTTCCAAAATGGTCTATTTTTCACTAGCAAACTAACTCGTGGGCCAAAATGAAGCCCCCATCTGCCTTCTCACATTGAAGTCACTGTGTTAGCTAGTAGAGTGTCAACAGGAATGTGACTTGTATTTGAAGTAGATGTGTTAATTCATGATCTTACATCTCTTAATTCTCTTAAGCCTCTTAATTCTGCAATTGGATCTTTAGGGTCTAGAAAATAGCAAAACATGTAAAGTTTTTTTTAATTTTTTTTTTTTTAATTACAGTATAAGGACATTACTAAATATTGGTTATTTACATTGCTGATCTTTTCCAAATATGCAGTTTGAAGTTAAAAAGATGTTTTAAGAATGCTGTAAAAAGATAACTGTTCATCAAGTTTTTAACGATAGATTATGCAAAGGAATTCTCTGTTTTGAAATAGTCAAAAGTATCTGATCCTCTTTTGCCTTTCTAATTATTTAAAAAAACTATTTTTGTTAGAGAATATCTTCAAAGTATTTCTGTTCTTAGAATATTAAATTGCAAAAATAAAGCAGTGAGTTTTCAAATATCTGTATAGAAATTTTACTGCCAGCTTTATAGTTTTAGAAAGATGCTGGTCATCTTAATTACATGTGATGTAGATTTTATCTTTGCACATGTAAAGTTACTTTTTAGATGTAATTATCTTTAGATAAAAGAATTTTATAATTGTGTGCAGAAATGTTTCAATTCCCTTAAAAAGTTCTTGAGATATAGCGAAATACGCAATAAATAAAAATAACATTAATTTGTTAAAACTTTGGAATGCTCTCCTGACCAAACCCTTTGGCTACCTCCTATATTTTGGTGGTCAAAAATCCGAATCCTTTGAAAAAAAAGGTATGTTTATTCGAAGAAATTTAGTTTTTGTGTTAGATTTCGTAACTTGAAATATCGTCTACATTTATTAATTAGCATATTTGATATATTAATTAGCATTAGCATATCACCCCCTTGAGCCATTAAGATTGAGTCTTAGAACTTGAAGATCCAATCATTTGATCAAAAGTTGTTCAGGGTGGGTAATTTTTTTGCTCACTGTACTTTATTCATTTCAAAATTTTAAAATTATGTTCTTTCTCTCTCTCTCAGTTTTTAAATTGTATACGCTAACTGTTAATATTTTTTTATTAATAGAGTGAAATTTTAATTCATAACATTAATGTATGAAAAACTTTCTGTTACAATTTTTCCAGTCAGCTTATAAGGGTTTTGAATAGTATTCAATAGCTTCCTTAGACAAATTCAATTTACTTTAGCAGTCAAAATAACATGGTAGACAGATGATCAAAAAACTATGGTTTTGCTTCCTTTTATGAAATTGGTTAGTTTCGATTCTTAATAATTATTATCAAATTATAAAAGTGTTTTGCAGCATTGAAAAAACTATAAATGTTAAAAAAAAATTTAATTTGGATTAAAAAAAAACAAAATGGGTAAAAAAAAAAAAAAAAAATTTTTTTTAAAACTTTTACCTAGTCATGTGTAATCAATATGTGCTGTCTATTTTAATTATTCATTACTGAATTCTTCGATTTTGAGAAACTCTGACACTATAATAAAAATGTCTTATAAGAAGGCAAAGATTTTTCAGAATCTCAGCTTATCGAAAAATGATAATGATAAAAGAGAAGAAACTGTAATAGTTTTTCGCAGAAAATACTAAAGATAATTAACAGGCTGACTAACTGCTGAGTAAGAAATTAATAAGAAAAATTGAAATGACAATAAAAAAAAATGCAATAAAAAAAGAAAATATTTTGTTTTTATGTTTTTACTCTCACTTTTATTATAATCTGTTTGAGTTTTTTTAGACTGAAACTCTTAGAAAAAGTACTTAAGTATTACAAAAGTTTTGACATGAAAACTAGGGTTTTTCAGAATCACTCTGTAAGTAAATAATAAAGCTAAAGAAAAAAAACTGCTATTAATGGTTTTCTATAAAAATTATGAAACACTGAATAATAACTATAAAGAAATACAGGATAGATGGACTGAAATTACCAAGTAAAAGAAAATGTGAGGAAAAAAAATAGTTATACATTTAATCTTATATGTGTACTTAATTAAGTATGTATTTACTGTTTGTGTTTTTGTTATATTTTACTGCAAGGCATTAGGCTTGATCAGGTATGGCTATGAGTTTAATTTTGAGAATAAAACTTTAAATATGCACAAATTTCACCAAGAAACACTTTCCTAATTTTTAATGTTCATTCTTACCCTCTTCTTAGGGAGGTTGAAAAAATTTCTTTTTCGCTTACCGCAGTGAGGAAAGAGGCACTTTTTCTGTGCTAACTCTATATTTGAGCGAAATTGAATGAAGCATTTATTCAACTCTAATTGTCTTGTTTTTTATGGTCAAGTCTATTAAAAAATCATTACTACAATTGGTAAACAAATTTTTATATCGAAAGAGGTTTTTTTCATTGTGAGTTAACGAAAGTTAATGATTAAGAAAGTAAATATGTTTAATGACATTTACATTAAATTTTGATTAGATGTATATTTATGAAAGTTAGTTTTTAAATGTTATTTTTAACTTTTTCTAAAAAATTTTTTTATTTGAGCAAAAAAGTTTGATTACTTCAGTTTTTTGGATTGTTGCATTCCAAATCAATTGGTTTTTTATTGCACAAACATTTTTCTGAAATACTTCTTTGAGAATTATTTCTTTTGTATTGTTTTTGAAGTTATACCATAGAAATAATCTAGAAGTGATTTGATGAAATTTGCTTTTTTGGACATTTAATTGAGATTTCAAACTTCATTTCCATTTTTTAAAAAATTTTTTCCTCCTTTTTAATTTTAAAAATCTTGCTTTAAGATGTTAAACAATTAGTCGTGAATTAAAAAAACCTTAACTTGATGATTAAGACCTTTTTGGAATTTATTTATTCTAATGTTTAATTTGCCAGATTTTCTGGTTTTCAGCTGTATTTATTAAAAGTTTATTTTAAAAATGTAAGAAAAACAAATATTTGTATTTTAGAGATGGTCTAGAGGATCCTTTAGAAGATTTAGGAATGGTTCAACAACAACTTGATCAGGTATGTAGATCAGTGTTTTCACTACAGCGCGAGAACGCGAGAATCTCGCATATTTTTTCCTTTTCTCGCATTAAAAAATTATTACCGCGAGAAATTCGCGCATTCTATAAATCAATTTCAAAACTCGCGAATTTCTCGCATTTTGGAAGAAGCTTCGAATTACGCTATTTAGAATAAAATCCGTTTCACTTTTCTTCCTGGATCTTTAATTATTTTCAACATCTGCCCCATTATCTAGCTTCCCTATTTACCAGTATTGTTCAGAACCTTTTCGAACTACAGAACACAACCACGGAACCCTTTTCAGAACACATTTCTCTGCAACCTCTTGTTTACCGTAGGTAAGGTTTCTTCATGTAAGACGTTCAAATGTTTTATGCACTTATGTAACATGGACAAATACCATGTAAAGGCAAAATCTTCTATGATGATGCACCAAAAATATTCAATGCTTTAAAAAATAGAAGACGTTAAAAATGTATTATAATTAAAGAACTGATTTTTTTTCAAAGAGTTTTTGTGTTTTTTTAGTTTTTAGTAATCTCACTTAACTTTTTGAAATCTCACCCTGTTTTTGAGAAAGGGTGAGAAATTCTCACCCATTTTTTTTCTGTGATGAAAACACTGTAGATACTAGCTTTTTATTTTACCATCCAGTCATACAGATCCTTTGTTAATTTGTAAAATATGGGAAAGATGTATTTGTTACTTGAAAGGTATGAAAGTGTCAGATAAAATTTAAAATTTGCTAAATGGCCATACTTTGTCTTGCTCTAAAGGAGATATATCTCCAGTGTCAACGAATTTTTATTTGGAGCAACTGAGATGTTCTTTCCTAGAACCATCCCCATATTGATGTTGTGTTCTACCCTTCGAGAAATATGTTTCAGGCAACCCCTATTCACACTCACTGCTTTGTTTACTTTTTCGAAATGTCTGGTTGACCTTGTTTAATTTAATACAAGTTGTGCACTGTGCTTGATTTTTTTTGAAAATAAAAAGGATTATTATTTTGGAAAATATTTCTTTTGATTGAGAGTGAATAAATTTAAGAAAGATACATTGGCATTGAATAGTCCCACAAATATATAATTAAAGTTTAATATTGATATAATGTTTTTTTTTTTTTTAAATAAATCTGTATATTAGAATATTTTTATATGTTCTATAATCTCATTGCTTTAAAATGAATTTTAACTGCTTTTAAAAACCTATTTTATTTTAGCAAAAAAAGAGTAATGAATTTAAATAAAAATTAGAGTCTTTAATTCAGTTTTACAGCTTTTTAGTACTTAATTAAATTGAATAATTTAGCAATTAATTTAAAATAAAACATCATATTGACAATTTATATTTGTAGTATCATTTATATTTGTTGCTTCAATAATTTTTTTTAATTGTGCAACTTTTTTCAAATTTGGTTTGTTTTTAAAAAATATTGTCATACAAACAAATAGTTTTTTAATATGTTGAAAGACAGTTAAATTAGGTTACCTTCTAAGATAACTTGATGTATTTTATTAGTGTATAATCTATATTGTGCACAAATGTTAGTAGCTTTTTTATATTTCCTTTTACTTAAATGACTAGTTTTAGATCAGAGTTGGGCAAAAGTGTATTTGATTACAGTTTCTGATTACAGTAATAAATTACTCATAATCATGATAATAACAAATAATTTTGATCACAGCTGTAACAATCAATTGTAGTAATCAATTAATCATGATTAAAAGCAATTTAATTATATGATTACATGTAACATGATTACAAGTAATCAGAATACATGATTACATGTAATTTTGATTGTAAATTGTATGCATCATGTTATGCAGTACAAATTGTATAATATATTGTATAATGATACATTTTGTATTTTTCTACATACAGCGTATATAGGTGTGTATGCAACACAAATGTATTTACATATGTGTATATCTAAGACTTATATATACCTAAAACTTATGTAGATCTGTATGTGCAAGCAATAAAGACTTATATGTGTGCATGTAAATAAAATGGATGTATATATTTGTGTACAATGTGTGTTTGTGTAGGAATGTAAACACAATGTACTTGTGATTGTTGGCACAAACATCTATATATTGTATGCAGATTGTATAAATGTTTATACATAAATTGTATTAAATATATTGTATACATGTATAAATATATATACATTTTATGTAATAAATTTTACAGACCTATCTGTTTACAATGTATTTGCTTACAATGTATGTACATTCATGTGGATGTACATAAAGGGAATGCTCATAATTATGTGCTCGCAGCATAATTACACGTGTACATGGAATGTACATGCAATTTATGCATTATGTTTACACAAACATTGCATGTACAAACTCAGATACATGTATTGTGAATGCATATATTGTAATTATGCACATATATGTATTGTACAAATGTACATACATAGAACAAAAATCTGTTGTTCATATATATATTGGACATATATATTTTGTTCATATGTACATATATACATTTTACATACATATCTTTGTACTTTATGTACATAAATTCATTGGACATTTATATGTTGTATGTTTGTTCATACGCACAAGCATTGTACATATATACCTTGGACATGCATATGTTTTACATATTGTACAGTCGTCAAAAAAAAAGATATCACCCTGAAAAACTTTCAATCTAATGATCGATTTTCATGTACTAAGTGCCAATCTTAATGGTTTCTGGGGGTGACCTCAAATATGCTAATTGTTTAGTGCTAACTATTATTTAAGTTACGAAATCAAGCACAAAATCGTACTTTCTCTGAATAAACATGGATATTATTTTACATATTTGGATTCTTTATCTTCAAAATATAGGGGGTAGCCGAAATCAGGGAAATGTCCCCATAGTTGGGTCAACAGAACAATTTAAAGTTTGAACCCTTTAATGTTAATTTCACTTTTTGCATTTTTAGTCATATTTATAAAACTAATTAAGCAATTAAAAAAATTGCCCCCACTCTTAAAACTCATTTACCCAAAGATAATTTCATGCAAAAATTTTTTTTAATAATTTATTATTTTTTATTATTTAATTACATTGACGATGAAAAAATTTTGAATTATAAGGTATGAATTTTTTTATACTATATTAATCTGCATATTTTTCAATTGAAAAATCTAAAGATTCAACTGTTTTTATTTAGTAGAAGCTGAGAAAAATAAAAATTAATTATTTTTAAAAAAATAATTTGGCGACAATGAAGAAATATTTTAATGGGGCGATTAGTATTAAAATGCAATTAACTTACGCGGAACTTGACTTCGAGCGCAGCGTAAAATTCCATTCATATTTTTTTCACTAATAACCAATTGCTAATCTTTTTATTTTTAACTATAAAATACGATGCTTCTTTTTTAGTCTTCTAAAATTGTGTTCATAATTTAGTAAGGAAATTTGAATAAAACATATTATTGAATAAAAGACATGTTATTCAAGGAATGTCGAGCTTTATGAAAGCATGCTTCTGATAGAATACCATTATACACCAGATTGTGCTTATTTAATTCAATATGCGATTGTATTTTAGTTTTTAGTTTTTTTTTCAATGATTGATACAATTTCAATAATATACATACGTACGCATATATTTGGAATAATATATTTATCTAATTTCTTCAATACCTATATATCTAAATCTTTATATAATTTCTCCAATATGTATTTTATAATTATTAATACGAATTTGTAGTCAACATTTTCAAGCGTCTTAAAATTTCTCAAAATTTAATATATATTCTTAATTTTAAAATAAATTTTTTAATTACCTTTTGGAAGTGTTTCGCAGAACTATTTTACCATTTATTTAATTAAATTTTTGCATTTTTAAAAATCTTATTCTCTACACTACTTCATATATTATTTTTTCATTAATATACTAATCAATTTTAGCACTTTAATTTAGGTTTTCTTTAAAGTAAAGTTCCTTTTTAAATAATTGTCAAGTTTTTTTTTAAAAGGAGAACTTAGAATTATAGTCTGCTAGCTAAGAATAAAACCTTGATAAGAGATTAAAAAATCATTCCGTTGTTTAAAATTATTTGATGCAGAACAGCTGACTATTTACTAAGCATACTATTTTTTTTAAAAATAAATATAAATTATTGATTTTCTTTTTTATTTTATATTTTTCTTCTGAGTTCAACATAGATTTTCTTAAATAATGTTGATGTTTTATAAGTCACTACGAAGAGTGTAAAGATACCATACATAAAAAGCTGTCAATTACATAACCAAAGTTTTTAAGTGTCTTGAAATATCTCAGTATCTTAAATGTCGCTCTAACATCTTAGTTGTGAAATTAAATTTTTAATTATCTGACGTGTGATTCACAGAACTATTTAACTAATTATTTCATTATGTCTTTTACTCTTTCTTTATAATACCATATAGATTTTTTTTCGGATGCTTAATTATTTTGTTTAATTTTTATTGGTACTTCGAGGTTTTTTTTAAATTAACACTCATTGTGACTAATTGCTAAGTTTTTCTTTTAAGTATCAGAACTATGGCCAGTTAGCTGAGAGGATTTTAAAAACATTTTCTATATTAAAATTACTCCGTGCAAAGCGTCTGACAGATCATAGTAAATAAGTGCACCCTTTTCTCTTAGATTGGGCCAATAAATTATATATTTATTTACATTATTGTTTCTTATTTGTTTGGTTTGCTAAAAGTACATACATATTAGTGCTACTCAAAAAATCATGATTGTTTGCTTTGTTTTTTTAAATAAACATATCCGAACCGTTGAAACTTATATATTATGCAGTTAATTTCAAGAAAGTTGCTCTTTTAAAAGAAGATGTTGAAAAATTTCCCTTTCAATAAAGTTATTTCTCAACTTTGGCATGATTCCCAAGATATTATAGTATAATTGGTTAAGAAAATGCCTTAATTTGTAAAACACCAAATACTAAAAATTGAAATTTGTAAAAAGATTCCAAAGCCATGCCAATTTTAGAATC